ACATTTCAGATGACCTACATCTATAGGTCATTGGCACATAATATCAGTTTTAGGAAGACAGATACTCCGTGGATATTTTTTGTTACTTCTCTTAGTATAGAAATAACTTTGATGATTCAAAATAGTGTACATGGGACATTTTGATACTATACCATACTAGAATACAATAAAAGTGACAGCCCTGCTTTGAAAGAGCTCACCAAGTAATAAAGAAGACACATGTTGCTCAGAGTGTAAGTCCTAGTACATATGGTGCTACACGAACGCAGAGAATAAAGAATCAGAGGCTTGTTAGAAAATGATGCTTGAAATGATTCTGGGGAAAAAAAGGAGTCAGTAAAGGAAGGAGAAGCTGAAATATATCTGTGGGATAAATGATGCACAAGAAGACAAGGGTTAGAAAATATTTAGAAAGGGCTGGGGATGTGTCTCGTGGCATGCATGAGGCCCTGGGTTTAATCCCCAATAGTGTAAAAAAGAAAAAACAAATTAGGAGGAGAAATCCAAACATTGGGTTGTTGGTTCATTAGCCACGGAATCTGAGCAAAAATAGCAGTGTAAAAGTACTTTCAATTTTTTTTTAGTGTTAGATATCTGTATTATTGTTGAATCACAACTGGAAATTACAACGTAGGATACAGAGCTGATTTAACAAAAATACGAGGCTAGTGGTCAAGTCTTTGAGGTAACTGGAATGCTCACGCGATGGCCAGCAAAGAATTAGACACAAGCGTGTGAAGCTTAGGTGAGATTTTGTGTTAGAGATACAGAGCTGGGAGTCATCAGCCACCGGACGGTAACTAAAGGTATAAGAGGACAGAGAGGAGGACGAGCAGAAGTCTTTAAGGAAGCTCTCGAGAACCATGCATCCAAAAGCAAGGCTGGGACAAGAGCTTACGATGGAGGCCGAGCAGAGGAGGCCAGAAGCCAGCTGCAAACCAGGGAAGAGAGCAGATGGGAATGGAAGGGAGCTCAGGACCCTGCTAGAGCCACACGGAGGTGAAGGAACGGCAGTGACATGCGAGCACAAAGCAAGGGTAAGCTTCATAAACTCTCAAAGCCGAGACGGCGGGAATGACAACACAGCTCTGCAGCTCTGTTCCGGGGAAGGTTACCTAATCTCACTCACTCGTCAAGCCTGTTCAGAACTACACCAGAAAGTCTGGATCTGATAGTGGGACCAGCTGGACTGGGTTAGCTCTTTGGCTCCCCGCAGCATTAGCCAGGGCAACTCCCTAGGCTGCGTCCACTGGCAATGGGGCTGGGCTGCTGGGCCCAGCCCACCTCTGTATTGGGCATGGTGGCGCTGCTGAGGGTGGCCTCTCCCTCCCTAACAGCTTGGGCCTTCTCGCCCAGTAGGAGGTGGCAGAAATGATTCTGTGCCGGCTCTGGTCCTAAATTTTGGGAAGCCTGTTGGTTTCCCCTCCTGATCTGGGAAGGCAGCGATCATGAGCATGTCTGGCCTCAGGCTGCTCAAAGGTGTGGAGAGCCTTTACCGAAGTGCACACTCCTCCCACCCTCAGAAGATATTTCCTGTGTTCCCCAAGCATCCACCTTGGGAGACGATCAAGCACTCAAAGCCAATAGCAAATGCTCAGACGCAATTTAAAATGGCTGTTACTCGTTGTAGAGCTCACAGGAAAAATGTTATTAACATGGCGGGATGTGAAGGCACATTATAAATTCCTGAAGGTCAATTGGAAAGTGGCTAAGTGGAGGCGGTGACCACGAATCACTTCGTGAATTAAGAAAGAAACAGCAGAGGCTTCTAGACAGTGGAAGAAACACAGGAGCAAGCAAGAGTTCACAGTTATGGAAAGGACCTGCAGGGTTTATGCCTTAGAGGAGAGAGAGCCATATAGGGAAGAATTACATTTTTAAATGCAAGAAATAAAATCATGAAAGTGGAACAAACTGGAATCTAACATTCTGAGAAGCTCCAAGAGGAGAAAGACCTCCTCAGTGGACAAAAGTAAAGAGAAAAAAAACTGGGTAACGTAAAGATGGACGGCTGAGTAGAAGGAAATATTTGCTAGACAAGCAACCCATAACACTTGAATTCCACCATCCACATGAAAAAAAAAAGCAGGTAAAGGATCAAAGGGCTATGCCAATCCAAACAGAAAATACCGAAAGTAAGATGCAAATATAACTAAAAGCAACAAAGGGCTGCTCGGTCCCACTAGTCATTAGGGGATTGAAAATTAAAGCAATGATTAAATGTCCTTTTTCCTATAAAAGTGAAAAAATAAAATCACTACCTCGATAATATCCAATACTTAAATGAGGGCATGGGCACTCACGTACAGTTGGTTTATAACTGGGTAAAGCAGTCGGTGTGTCAGCCCAAAAGGACAATTGAACAGGACACAGAAGCCTGAACTGTTTTGTAGCCAATGAAGAAAGACAGGTCTACATATTGGTTTCTTAGTATAAAAGGCAAATTTGAGATCCATGAATAGAAAATGAGTTCCTTTATGATAATATAAATATATGCAGCAATTTGTCCATACAGATTTCTTACATACATTAGAGAGTGAGAAAGAACTTTAATGAATATCAGCCACCTTAGGGAAGACGAGATTTGATTGAAAGGTAAGAGAGGAAACATGCAGTATATAACATTAGATAGCTTTTTAGAGAGGCAAAATTATAAGTCATTCTACTGTAAAATGGCTAAATCAAGCTAATTAGCATATGTATTGCTGCACATACTTTTTGTGGTAAAAATGCTTAACATATGCTTCGTTGGTAGTAATAATTTTGTTTCTGTTTTGTTTTGTTTCTATTTTGTTTTGTGATAGTGGAGAATGAACGCAGGGCCTTCAACATAACTCACTCACTCCTTTTTTTTCTTCCTTCCTCCTTCTCTCCTTTCCTTCATATTTCCTTCCTTTCTCTCTTCCTTGCTTTCTACCCTTAGTCCTTCCTTTTTGTGGTAATTGGCCAGCGATGTAGCTCAGTGGCATAGCGCCTGCCTGGAAAGCGAGAGGCCCTGAGTTCGATTTCTGGTACCAAAAAAAATACACACCTTTTTGTTGTACTAAAGACTGAACCCAGGGCCTCTGTACTGAGTTACACCCCCTTCCTTAATTTTATTTTGAAACAGAGTCTCACTAAGTTACTAAATTACTCAAACTGGGCTCAAATTTGTGAACCCCCTACCTCAGCCTCCCCAGGCAAGCGCCACCATGCCTGGCTAAATTTCTTTTTTTAGATGAAGACGTCATAGAATGTTTGAAGCTGGAAAGAACCTCAGAAATCCTCTCACCCAACTCTCATTTTATGGATGAAAAAAAGTGGTTACAGCAATAAATAAATTTCTGGTCTTGAGTACCTTAGAGATGCTGGATTTTGAGTTCAGTCCCCGGTACCAAAAAGAAAGAAAGAAAGAAATGCTGGATTTGGACAGATTCAGGTCAGAGCAGTTTTCCCGGTGCCACAAAAATCCTCTCTAACCACGATTAAAAGGAATGACACAGTATGTCTGTGGTCATTACAGACAGATGTCTCCAAAACAAAGACAGGAGTTATGCTTCGGAATTATGCAGTGTATCTATTAAGCAAAATTCACTCATATAACATCATATAAATATATATTGCAATTAATTTATGTAAAATCCACAAAGTAAGTGAAAACAGATAAATAATTTGAACTGATGAATACTTTTAATACAAGGAGCTTCGCCAAATACTAAAATTCGCACTACATTGAAGAACTTTAAAGCATGATCCAAAGCTATTCCATGCTTTCTGGAAGAATTACAGTGCCCTCTTCTGTTTTGGTGTAGATGGCACATTTGCAGGAACAACACAGTAATTAAAATACCAACTGGAGGGCCGGAGATTTAGCTCAGTGGTTCTGCCACCTGCCTCACAAGCGCAAGGTCCTGAGTGCCCCATACCAAAAAACAACAACAAGATACCAACTAGCGTGCTTCAGAAATTCACTTTCCCTTCTTGAACTGAATGAAAGTATTTATGTAAAGATCGCACTTTACACTAAGTACACAGTAAGCAGACATTTATTTGGGTAAAAAGATATTGGACCTGGAAAAGCATGTAGGCGCTTCTGCGGTCAGACTGATGAGAACTATTCAGGAAATGTATAGCCACTTGGAGTCAGGACACTGGTATTTGGGGATCAACTGTGCGAAGATTTCTCACTGTGAACCTTGCCGTGCCTTTTGAGTTTGTTAATCATATGCACTTATCAGTCTTTCAGGTAAGAAAAAAGTTAATAAATAGTTTGAATTATGTATTAAATGCATGGTGTATATCCAAATTTCAAGCCTCTCTTTCTGAAAGCTCCATACCTTCAAAGAAGTTATTTAATCTGTGTTCTTTCCCTGCCTCTTCAAGTCAGTTACAGCCTCTGTTACCTTGTCCCACCCAGCCTCTCGGTTTCTGTATGGCTGTGAAAAGGAGGTAGTGCATACAAGTTCACAGCTAGAAAACCAGAGCTCACTCAATTCGTCCAAAAACTGGACTCTGTTTTGTAATCTAATGAGAAAAGCTAATTAATATAACCCTAGTTAGAATATCAATAATTATAAAGTGTATACAGTATAAAATAACCTGTTTTCCAACTTAGTCCACCCTCTCCAAAGGTGTCACATATATTTCCAAAAACAACTTCAATGATTGTTGAGTGATTGAATGTTTCTGTCAAGCACCTTTATAAGTGAGGGGATAAGGCGTTAGCTGAGCTCTTGGAGGTGAAATCCCGGTGGAGGAGACGGGTGTTATGTATATAAATGAGCTGGTGCACATTATTTCTGAAAACTGCCGTAATATTTGAAAAGAAGAAGAGTAAGAGACAGAAGTAGCAGGTGGGATTGCTGTTGCATAGGAGCAGCCTGCACTGAGCAGGGCCGTTTAAGCAGAACCCAGAATCACAGCGATGGGGGTGCCTGAGTGTAGCCCACCCTCCAGCAGGAGCATCAGGGAGAGGGAGCCAGGCTGAGACTTAGGAAACTGAGCCCAGGTTGCGGGGGAACATGGCTTTAGCCCTAGAGGCCTTCGGTTCCCAGGATCCACCAGACACCATAGTGCCCGCCGAAAGTAAGGCACCTGCTTGCTGCAGATCCTGCAAGTGACAGTAGTGTGGGGACACAGGAGCCAGGAGGGACTACTGCAGGCAGTCTGTGGGCACAGGGCAAGCAGGCGTGTGGGCAGGGGCCCGAGAACCTGGGCAAAGTCCCCCCCAGAAGCTTCTGTCTTCACAGTCAAAAGTAGAAAGGTCTTATTTGAAGGAATTCATGCTCCGTTTTCATTCCCTTGCTCCATATCCTGAGTGTCCTTCACAGGCGTCCCCTGCCTGATGACCCAGATGCATCCTTACAGCCTCCAGGACCTCAGGTCTTCTGCCTCAGAAGCAGGACAATGTACAAGCCTTGGGCTCTGCGACTCACCTGTCCCTCTGTCTGCTCAGCTCTGTCCTTTGGCCTCCGGATTTGGCTAACACCTAGGGTACAGATCTCACTCCAAATGAGCACTCTCCCTAGGCCTAGGCCATTCTTGAATGTCCCGTAGAAAGCACCTCCTCCTCCCATCATAAGTTATTTTGCTTATGTGTTTATTCTGTACTGTCTGCTACCTCCCAGAAGAAAGCAGTTCACAGAAACTAGCACCCCTAGCCCACCATATCTACCTCTCCCTCCATGTCCTCTCCCTCTCTTGATCTGGCTTGATTTGTCTTCTCAGTATTCACCCTCACGTATGTGTGTGTGTATGTGTGTGTGTGTGAGTGTGTGAGTGTGTGTGTGTGTGTGTGTGTGTGTGTGTGTGGAGAGTGAGACAGAAAAAAGGGAGAAACGGAGAAACCAATAAACAGAGACATTTTGTGTGATATGCATCTATCTTAAGAGAATAATAGCTCTGACAGTAAGTGCTTTGTAAGCATTTTATGTCTTCCCAATGAGAACCATATCTGGCACTTAGTAGTTATTCAAAGAATATTTATTTTATTATTATTTTATTAGTATTATTGGTTTGTCAAAGAACATTTCCTGATGAACAAATTTGGTAAGTTAAATGTTAAACAAAAACATAACTATATACTATATAGAATTTGGCATAGAGTAAATCTTTAATACATATACCTGCTATGATGATGACATGAAAGACCATTACAAGCTAAGCATGGTGGCACACATGTGTAATCCTAGACTCCTGGGGGTCTGAGGCAGGAGGATCACAAGTTCAAGCCCAGCCTGGGCAACTTAGTGACTTGGCAAGACCCTGTCCCAAAAATTAAAAAAGTTTTAAAGGGCTGGGGATGCAGCTCAGTGTGAAGGCCCTGGGTTCAAGCCAAAGAAAGAAAGAGAGAGAGAGAGAGAGAGAGAGAGAGAGAGCGAGAGAGAGAGAGAGAGAGAGAGAGAGAGAGAGAGAGAGAGAGAGAAGAAAGGCATGAAAGGGTGGGAGGATGGGAGGGAGCAAGGAGAGATAGGAAGAGAGAGAGAGAGAGAGAGAGAGAGAGAAAGAGAGAGAGAGAGAGGGAGAAGGAGTTATGGCACCTGTCATAAGCACAGCTGTGAAGGGCTAATGTGTCCTTTCTGCTCTTCTCTAAAACCAACCCACTTTTGTCTCATCGAAGACTTTCATTAAGTACATGTTGTTTGTTCTTCATAAATTCCCTCCCTTCAGCTAAATATGTGTAACATTTGCCCACAATTAAAAATAAAAATAGTTAAAAACACATTTCAACTCTGCATCATCTTCTGTGTCAGTCAGCTCTCCACCCCTGTGACAAAGACCTGAGACAACTCAGCTCATAGAGAAAGAGGTTGGGCTCATGGTTTTGCAGGGTTCGGACTGTGGTGGGTTGGTCACTGAACTGTGCCTGTGGCAACACATCTTGTGGACAGTGGAGGCAAAGGAGGACCTTAGCATAGCACTGGGAAGCAAGAGTCAGGGTAGGGTTGAGGTCCCCAGTCCCCTCCAAGGACACAACCCACTCCTAGGCCTCCTCGTACACGTGCTGCTATCTCCCCATAACCACAGGCTGTCAAGTCAGTAGCACGTGGTCCTTGGGGTCACTGATCAAATGGCTTCACCACCTAGCAATGAAAAAGAGCAGTGTAAACTGGTTCACAGTTGTTAACAAAGACAAATCTCAAATGAACACATTCATTTTTATTTACTGTTCATATCAGTGTTTGCATGATTAAATTGTTAATCACTGTAAAATAGTATGTAGTGAAAGGTAGATCTGGTCTCTCAGTCTTCACACTGCAAGAAAATTAACTATAAACTGTATACCCTTCCCGGGAGTATGTATGCAAATCTAGATAGATAAATATCTCTTGGAAATGCCAAAATTGGTCCATCCTGCGCACACAATTCTGCACTTTGGGCTTCTTTTAGTTAATGATGCATCCTGGGTAAATTTTGAAAGAAATTCTTTACTGGCTTCAGAGTGCTCTGCTGGATGTGGATATAATGCTTCTACTGAAGTCCATTGAATAGTTCCATGTTTATTGGCATTTGATGCATTTCTAATCATTTGTTCTTGTAAATAGTGGTGAAACCGATAGCTTTGTCCCTGCGTGTGCACTGTGTAAGTGGATGCACACTCTTCAGATACACTAGGATAGAAATTCTCAAAAGTAGAATTGCTGATAAAGAGCACACTAACCTTCAGTTTTTATTGCTCTGGCCAAATGATCTACTAATATATTTTTATTAAATAAGCAGGGTTTTCATCTCCTCGAAACAATGAAAAATTGTAATTTATGTTTATGTCTTTGGAGAAGGAGAATAATTCTTAAGTCAAGCCAGAAAAGGACCAGAACTACCCTACAGAGGTATTAGTACACTGTATGACACACACAAGGCAAAAGGAAATGGAGCTCCATTAGGGGCAAAGAATCAGAATTCCTTTCCCTCTAGAGGCAACAGAAGTTTGAACACATTGCTAAATGAATTTCCCAGGCTCCGGGAATTCTTTTCCCTAGATCAGTCTCTTAGAAACTCACAGCCATGGAAACAAGAGAGAAAAAGAAAAAACCTAAACGCAGACTTGCTAAGGAGTGCGCCAGACTTCTTACATTTCTGAAACAGCGAGTTTCAACTCTTTTGGTTTTTTGCTTTTTGTTTTTCATGTTAGGGTAGTTTTCTTAAAAGATTATAATTATATACATATATATATATATATATATATATACACACAAATATGTGTGTATACATATAAACATGCTTATATATCGTTGCACGTAGCTATGTATACACATAGTTATATACATACATACGCGTATAAATATATATATAACAATATATTAATACACATATTTATGTATATTGTTTCTTTTATAGATCGCAAATTCCTCATGGATGGGTGGGAGAGGACGGTGTCCTGCGGCTTCCAGCAGCTACTTGATATTTATTGCACCTAGTATCCAGACAACCGCCAGCTCAGGATCCAGAACCCTTTAAATCCGTCCCCCACTCTAGCGCGGTGGACGCGCCTGCTTTCCCCCAGCTCCGCGCCGCAGGTGGAATGGCCCGTGACGTCACGAAGGCGCGGCCCAATCAGGCGCGGCGTCGGTGATAGTTTAAACCCGAGGCGGGGCGGCGGGCGGCAGCGCGTTGCTGGCG